GTGACCAATGATTAGAACCAATATGATGGATATTAAAAAATATATTAAGCATGTTCTAGTTGATAGGGTTTGTGGGTAATTATAAATTTGAATTATAATAATGAATGCTTAAGGTTCTATCACCCTAAATAATGATTAGGTTTTCTTGATATAAATTGGTAAACACAACTTAATATACGCAAGTATATATGTCGAATAGAGTAATAAAGTGATAGAGTAGAGTGTCAAACCTATTAGGAAGTATGCTTTTTAGCAATCAACTACTATTGCTTGCTCTAATTATAATAATTATCCTACTCAATAAAAATGGATGTTATGGATATTCAATCACTTAAATAAAATTAGAAAAAGATAATGAATACACTATATGGACATAATATTTTGGATCGATGAATATACATAACATATGTTTCTTTATGATTCTCTTTTAATGATGATGTTATTCAGAGCATATACACCACGACGCTATCTGATAGAGAAGTTGACACTATAATGTTGATATTATGACACTCTCACAGTGACTTTGATGGCAATGTGGCATTATTTGTTGGGAAGCAATGGCATTATATGAAACCAAGAATTTTATACCTTTTATGTATTTTTCCTAATCAATACAATAAATATAACACATTTTTATTGAAAATATAACACCTAAAATAACATATTATGTACACTTATTAAAATTTTCCCAACATAAACTCTTGTTTGACCTCAAACAAATAAATATATTTTAATTTTAATTAAATGATAAACCAAAGTGAAAATTGATAATTAAAATTACTAAAATATAAGATAGTACATCAAGGTCTAAAAGTTGATAAAATGAACAATATTATAATTCTAGTTTAGAAAAATACTAATTATTACACTAATTAGCCATCCTTATTATTACTTAATTTAAATTTACAGGTTATAAATTTAATTATTAATTTTAAAAATTTTAAAATGAATAATGTAGCTTAATAATTATATATGTTTGTAATTAAAATTGAAACTTCATTAGTTCCCATCATTTGTAATAGTTTTCATATTTTATTCTTTATGAATTTAAGTATAAGATTAAAATTAGATACTAAGCTTTTAATTCATACTAAATTTTGAATGTACTCTTCTTTTTTCTTTCTAGAACTATCGATATAATTCTTTTTCTTTTTAGTTTATAGAGTACATAGTTAATAATTTTTAATATATGTTTTTTCTTTGAACCCTTTTTATAATCTTAATGTATTTTATGTAAGAATTTAATAAGATTACCAATTCAAAATTTGAATTGCTTATGATTTTCAATTTTCATCTACTCATACTGAATCTTTAATTCTAATTATTTATTTTTATTTCAAAAATTAATAAATAAAGGTATAACTAATAATTTCAAATTAAAGCAATAATTTAAATGATCTAAATTAGATAATTATTTATTTATTTTCTACTATATGAAGTATAATTAGTGTTCATTTAAATTATGATATAGGGTTTTATTATTATCCTAATTTTATATAATTTTTTAATTATCATTTTACTAAGGTTAATTAAATAATCATAAAACAAAAATAATTACAATTAACCTAAGGAAAATTTCAATGAAATATAAATAAAAGAAACACGAACAACAGTTAACAATGCACATGCTTTCACATAAATGATAAAATATGCATAAAATATGTATTAATAGAATATAATAAAATATAACATAACATAACATTATTTACAGGATAACTAGTGCATTAAGCACCATGCATAGCATATCTAGTGGGTTGCCTCGCATAAGCGTTAAGTTTATAGTCTTCAGCCAGACTTTGTCTAAAAACTTTAATTTGGTTGTGGTATATTATTTTCATTCTTCAAGTAGTTTCCACTAAGATTTTTTGTTTTTCCTATCGGATTTATTTTAGTATTACTAGGTAAAGATCCAAGACATCTACTATTGATTGAAATTGCAAGTTGATTTAATTGGGTTTCTATATTTTTAATAGAAACAACTTGATTTTTCAATTGAGTTCCTCACTGCATAACTACATCTCTAATGTTATTTTCTTATTTTCAATTTGATTGCTTTGATTAAATCCTGGATGATTTATAAGTCTAAGATTAATAGCATGTTGTTGAGAAGTGCTCCAACTTACTCCGTGATTATTCTGCCAATTTTATTCCATTGATTACTATCACCCATATTATTTGACCAATTAAAATTAGGATGATTCCACCAACTTGGATTATATGTATTTGAGTAGGAACTATTTTATCTTCCAATTATATTAATACGTTCAATCCCTTGCATATTATTATCTTTAATTAAACTTTGATCCCTTGAGATCTTAGTTCCTATTCTGAAATTTATTCATATAATATTAACTTTTTAAAAATTGTTGCAACTTATGCAGTCAAAGTTGATAAAGCATATGATTCATAAATTCTAGCTACTTTTTTATGATTTATCATATTAGATGGTCAATGAAAATTATTATTAGCAATTTTCTCTATTGATTCATAAGTTTCTTTAAATATCTTTGACATTAATGATCCTCCAGCTGCAATATCAATTATAGCTCTAAGAGATCCTACTAATCTATTATAAAATATTTGAATAATCAACCAATCAGGTAATTCATGATGAAAATATTTTCTAAGCATTTCCATAAATCTTTTCCAACTCTTATAAATGGATTCTTCTTCAAACTGAGAAAAAGAAATTATGTCATTTATAAGTTTGGTAATTTTTTAAGGTGAAAAATATTTAGCGAGAAACTTATGAGCCAATTTGTTCTAAGTGGTTATAGAACTCGGGGATAAATAATTCAACCATATTTTAGCTTTATCTCTTAGAGAAAAAGGAAATAATCTAAGTTTAATAATATTATCATTGACACCATTATACTTTAATCTTACATAAATTTCTAAGAAACTGGCTAAATATAAATTTGAATCTTTTATAGGAGTTCCACCAAACTGAGAGTTTTGAACTATTTGAATAATAGTGGGTTTTAATTCAAATTTATTAGCTTGGATTATATTATATTTATGCTCATATGAATTCCATCTACTAAAGAGTTTGCATAATCTTTTAGAGCTCTATAATGATTTTGCTCTAACTTAGGTTAAGCTATTTTCAAGATCTTTTTGGTTTTCTAAATTTTAGAAAAAATTCTTTCAATTTCAGGATTGAATGACAATAGTTCCTTTCTAAAGCTATAAAGCATGCAACAAAAAAAAAGTAATTTGTGATCAACATAACTAAATAAAAAAAACATGTAGGTCTAATTATACAATCAATTTAACAATAAAGTTGAAATTTTGTAAAAAAGATAAATACTTCTCTGACAAAAGCACCAAAAACTTGATGGGGGCTATGCAGAAATGTAAAATTAAATTATAACAATGAATGCTTTAGGCTCTATCTCCCCTAAACAATGCTAAGATTTTCTTTGATATAAATTGGCAAATCTTACTTAATATACGCAAGTGTGCATGCCAAATTAAGTGATAAAGTGATACAGTAAAGTGTCGAACTCGCGAGAAAGTATGTTCTTTAGCAATCAACTATTATTGCTTACTCTAATTACAATAATTTTCTTACTAAATAAAAATGGATGTTATGGAGATTCAATTACTTAAATAAAATTGGATAAAGATAATGAGTATACTATATGGATATAATATTTTTGATTGATGAATATAACATATTTTTCATAATGATTCTGTTTTAATAATGATATTATTCAAATCATATGCATTTCTAGATCTCTATTGAGCTCATAGGAATAAAGGATATCCACTAATTTCCTATGATTATATAATCTCCTTAAGAATTTAATATATTTATATCCTATGCCTAGGTATGACACATACTAATTCAATAGTCTTTTTTATGCCTACTTTCCTTCGTCAAGACTCCACATTACACCTAATTCTAACTACACATATGGTCACTATGTGCATTAAATTAAGATCTAGTGATATTGAAAATAGCATTTTAATTATTTAAGGAATAAGAGAACTCACTAATACTATATATGATATTTGCATCATTAATCTAAAACTAGAGAGAATTTAGTTAGACATGAAGTAGAATTCATATAAACTCATTATATTAATAGCATGAAATAAAAAAATACAAGAGATAGATATCTCATGAATGGTTCAATAGATCTCCTCTGCACTCCTCTTTACTTACATATTAGCTTCTACAAACACATGATCTACAACATTTTGAACACGACAAAGAGTGTTTGGCTTATGTTTGTGGAAGCAAATATGTAAGTAAAGATTAGTATATAAGAGATCCATTGAACCATTATGATGATATCTATCTCTTGTATTTCTTTCTATCATGTTATTAATGAAAATGAGTTTGCTTCAATTTTACTCCATGTTTGACTAAATTCTTTAGTTTTAGATTGATGATGCAAATATCATATGTAGTACTAATAAGTTCTCTTATTCCTTGAATGATTAAAATGATATTTTTAATATCACAAGATCTTAATTTAATGCTCATAGTGACCATATGTGTATTTAAAATTACATGTAATGTGTAGCCTCGATGGAGGAAAGAAGTATAACTATGATTATTGAATTAGTATGCAACATACTTAAGCATATATTATGAAGTATATTAAATTCTTAAGGAGATAATATAACCGTAGGAATTAGATGAACATTCTTTGTCCCTACAAGTTCGACAGAGATCTAGTAATGCATATGCTCTGAATAACATCACAATTAAAAGATAATGATTAGAAAAAATATGTTATTTTATCCAAAACATTATATTTATTAGTGTATTCATTATCTTTATCTAATTTTATTTAAGTTGATGGTTAGAAATCATACTTTCTCGTAGGTTCGACACTCTAACCTACCACTTAATTACTTGATTCAGCATGTATACTTGTGTATAATAAATTTTAAAAATATTATTTTTATCAGAATAATTCCATAACCGATCACCTTAATAATAATAATAATAATAAATTAGCTCCCCCAAACGAAACAGCGTGATTGAATAACCCTGAATCCAAATAAGTCCTCTCCGGACCCGTCCGCTCTTCGGTTCTATCCGAGAAGGAGCAAGCTTGCGCGCGCGCTCGAGAGATTTGAGAGACTGACGGAGCTGAATAGCGGCAGAGCGAAAGCTATGGATAAGCTCGCGGAGCAGCAACACGAGGTCTACAGTGGAGAGATCCCGTATATCGCTGACATGGACGGAGAAGAAGTGATGCCCCTCGCCGACACTGATCACCTCTCCTCCAAACAGGTGTCTCCGTCTATCCCTTCTTTATCCCTACCATCATTACTTCAACCTGCTGTCCATGCCTGAAATCAATATTTTGTTCCTTGTTCCCGCAGAGCCTAGAGGATATGAAGAAGAAGCTCAAACTGATTGAGGACGAGGCGGGCGCACTACGCGAGATGCATACTAGGGTTGAGAATGAAATGGGTGTCGCCCAGGGTATCTGTCCATCTATCTCTCCTCATTTAGGGGTTTAAAATTATAATAAATTGTGTATCAAAATATATGTTTATTTCTATGCTCGTCGTACCCAATCTAGGTTATGTTTTTTACTTCTAGGCATTTCTTTTCTTTTGTTTAGTTGCTCAGCATCATTGAGTGGTATGGGAATCTTTACTTTTAAACTGTAGATTATAGAAATGTGTTTAATGGTAATTTTTTGGCAAAATGTGTGCTCCAAGGTGTCTTTCAGCTACAAAGACGTGAGAGGGCTGGTGAGTTCTTAGAACCAGACTCTGCAATGTTATGCTATACATGAGATTCTTTGGTTTCAGTTCCTGATGCGATATTACATAGAACTTGTGGATTACATGATGGCCTTTGAGACCACTTAACATCACAATGCTAGGGTTTGTTTAAAATGTATATATATTTTTGGTTCATATTTAAAAAAAAAAATCTGGCTTCAACCAAGAAGGAAATTCTGGGGTCTAATTCTTTTTCTTTTTCATTTTACTCTTCATTAATTTTACCCCAAAAAATTTTGTCTCATAAAAATTAGGGCATATGCCTTGAAATCACCCTTAAAAGTCAAGACACATAGCTTGAAAGAAAATCATGAAATAAAAGTGGATAACTGTTGGACCATACCATATGCTATTTGAGATCTTATTTGCTATGGCAGGCATAGGTGGTTACTAAATATTGCCTTCCTTTTGTTATATCATTTTTTTCAAGTCAATGCTGCTTTTGATAAGGTACTTGTTATTGGGCATTTTTATGAATCTTCATTGCCTCTTGTCTCTCCACACGAGGCACCAAAACATTGGCTTTATATGATACTCTAATGCTATCAGCAATGCTGCTCTCATAATTAGTTTGACAGAAATTTGGAAGTTGCCTGATTTCTTAAGCTGACAATATTCTTTAGTGCACTGTCCTTTCAACTGGACAATGCTGTGACAATCATCTGATGCATATTTCTAACATCACACTTGGAATAGTAGTACGATTAAATGTGATGCCAAAAACTAACCACACTAAGAATAGGCTGCACTCCTTATGCTTACTAACTAATTAAACTCTGATCATGTTCCCTAGTACACATATTTGACAGTTTCGTAATGATTTACCGAATTTGTTATATGTTTCGGGTTAGAAAAGTCATCCATGCTTCTCTTCTTACTATAAATATGATAGAGACTGCATGTTAGTTCTTTGCATATGGATGAACATGAATTTGAATGGTTGGTTCACTCCTTTTTTCTTTTATTTAATAATTTATGCATCTAGTAAACTATTTATACCGCTTTTAAGTGTGTAAAAAACCTGTAATAGTTTTAACATCTATAGCACTCAAAATTAATGAATAGAGAATGATAACTTATAAAATCATGAAAAATTGTTAGGATAGGCTAATGATGATGATATAAGTTTTAAATGCTGCTACTCTATCATTTCATGTCTTTTGTGTAAATTTATTGGTTACTATATCTTATGCATGCTTGGTAATTACTGTTTTTCATCTGTTGATAAAACAATAAAAATTCCACAAATGTGTGGTTTACAGTATGATTTTATGAGTGTAATCATGCAAACATGTGTAATATTACTGCGACTTAGCCTGAATTATGCCAAATTTCTAAATGAATACTGAGTATCAATGCGATCTGCATAACTTTTTATGTACTAGAGCTGTTTAAGGATGTTTCCTAGCTTTAATAATGATGATGGTGGTGATTTATTGGGATTATTTTCTGTCCCTTTTTGTGCTAGACTTGCTGAATTTAATTCAGGCAACAATTCCACAGTTAGCTTTTATTTAATAGAGGGAAGCTCTTTTCTTATTGGAAAATTCTTAAATGCCTACAACTTTAGATATGACATTATTCTTTGCTTCCCGTCATACTGACCAAACGTGTACTGGTAATAGTATGCTCAATAAGCTAGTAGTCGGAGATTGGTCCTGGCTAGGCATGTAAACGAGTCAAGTTTAGACCCTTATCAAGTTCGGCTCATTAGATGGAAAGCGAGCTCGAATTCGAGCTCGTCTCACTGTAAACGAGCTCGAGCTGGATCGTGAGCCGGCTCGTCAGCCATGGGCTGGAATTTTTAAATTTAGGCGTGATTTTTAAAAATTAGGCGGGATTTTCAAACTTTAAGCGAGATTTTTAAAACTTAGTCAAAATTTAAAAAGGATATGAAATGTTTAACATTAAATAAAACTTAGGTGTTTTTTATTAATTTATTTAATATTTAAATTTAATAAATAAAATAAAATTATTTTAAAAATATTAATATTTATTCGAACCGGCTCGCAAGCTCATGAGCCGAGCTGGCTCAAGCTCGAACTAGAGCTCATTTATTAAACGAGCTCGAGCTCGATGCATGAGCTCAATAAGCTCGGCTCACGAGTCCATGAACGAGTTGAGCTCGAGCTGGCTTGCGAGCCTGCTCGGCTCACTTACACCCCTATTCCTGGCTAAGCAAATTAAATATCCAACAACATTTATTTTGGTTGTCCTTTCGGGTACTTTCATCCAAATTCAAACAATTGTGTTGTGGTTAATGTTGTATTTTTAAGGAATATTTATGGAAGTTAATTTTTCCATTTAACCTCCTATTTTTGTTAGCCAGAGGAAAAGGAGAATGTTTCCCAGTTTACTACTTTCCCATGCTTGATTAATTGAATCAAAGTCTTCTACATATTTCTGCATGGTATTAGAGCAACTCTCTTAGCTTTTCCTCACATTTTCCTCTTATTTTGCCCTGCTTATTCTTGCTCTAACAGTCTCATCCATCCGGTCCATTCCTTCTCATGGTTGGCAATAGAGGAAGCACCTACTTGGTGATATCTAGTCTTGGCCCATTTATCCTAATCAATGACACCTACTTGCTAGAGACCTCTACCCCTCCCATTACCATTTAGCAAGCTTAATGGGCAAAGTTTCATCCAATGGTCTCAATAAGTGATGATGTTTTTCTGTGGAAAGGTGAGGAATAAATATCTTGCTAGAGCAGCTCATGCATTAAACGAGAAGTCCCCATGTTCATAATATGGATGTTGGAAAATAGTATGATAATTCATGGCTAGTAAATTCCATGACTAACCAAATTGGAGAAAATATCATGTACTACAAAATAATCAAAAAAATTTGCGATGCAGTAAAAGGGGCCAACTTCAATGTTGATAATACCCTGACCATATTCGAGATTAAGAGCATGATAGGAAATACTTGAGTTCGCAAGTAACTCGAAGGTAATACTTGAGTTCACAAGCAACTCTATCCCAAATTGGAGAGAAAACAACAACTAAACTGCTGTTTGCAGCAGTTTAACAACCCCAAACAGTGAAAAACAGCAAGAAATTGAGTAGGATTCTGAAGAAAATCAAGCCAACCACTTGTATTCCACTAGTAGATGAAAGAAAACAATAACCATACAAGATTCTTAAATTCAAGAGGAAGAGAACTCTCCAAAAATCTCTAGCCAAGAAGACTAGAGCCCAAGCCTCCAAGAAGATCCCAAAAATCAGCCCAAATTCAAGATGAAAACCTAAATCCCCCCTTTCCCCTTCTTTAACTCCAATGCCCATACAAAATCCCTAAACAACCCTTGTATTCAAATTCCCCCCCTTCCATTCAAATTTTCCCTCCAACACTTGAATTAAACCCCATCATGGGCCCCAAGGCTTTCCCTCCTCTAACACTTGAATTAAACCCCATGTGGGGCCCGCCTGGAGTAAGTAAGGACCGATCCATGTTGGATCGGTCCAGCCGATCCATGAGGGACCGGCCTAACATTACTCCCCTCCCAAAGACTCATCTTATCCTCAAGGTGAAATAAAGGGAATTGATCTTTCATTCTTTCAAATGGCTCCCATGTAGCATCAAATTCAGGGTGGCCTCTCCATCTAATCATCACTTCTTTGTTTCCCTCTTTATCTTACCTTATGTAAGTTCTAGTGGTTCAAAGACTACTTCCAAATCCATAGTCAGTGTAAAAGGTAATTCTACACTTACTGCATGCTCCCCTAGAGCTCTCCTCAACTGAGGCATATGGAACACTGGTGTATGGTGGCTGATGGTGGTAAATTCAATCGGTATGCCACTGCCCCAATCCTATCCAAAACCTCATAGGGGCCGAAGTATCGCGGTGCCAGTTTCTCGTTCCTCTTTTTCGTCACTGTCCTCTACCTGTAAGGGCGTAGTTTTAGGAACACCTTCTCTCCCACTTCAAACTGCATGTCCCTCCTATGTGAGTCTGCCTGCTTTTTCATGATTTGTTGTGCCCTCAACATATATTTCTTCAACTCTTCCAGCATCTTGTCCCTTTCCTCCAAGTACTGCTCAACTGAAGAAACTGGTGTACTTCCCCTCCCATAGTGCACTAGGTGTGGGGATCCATTCCATACATCATTTGAAAGGAGTCACTAAGAAGCAGAATGGTACGATGTATTGTACCAATACTCGGCCCACGGTAACCACTTCGCCCACATTCGCGGTGTTTTAGAAGCAAAACACCTCAAATAGGTCTCCAAACTTCGGTTTATCACCTCCGTTTGCCCGTCGGTCTGAGGATGGTAGGCGGTACTCCTTTTAAAAGTTGTGCCATGCAACCTGAACAGCTCCCTCAAAATCTGGCTGAGGAACACTTTGTCACGATTAGTCACAATGGATTCAGGGATCCAATGCAGTCTAACCACCTCCCTGATAAATGATGCTTCTACTGACACCGCGGTGTAGGGATGTCGTAAGAGGATGAAATGTGCATACTTACTAAGTCTGTCAATCACCACCATGATGACAGTGAATCCTTCTGATCGTGGTAGGTCATCAATGAAATCCATGGACACTCCTCCCAGACTCGGTTTGGAAGTGCCAAGTTTTGTAGTAATCCTCATGGAGCCATGGCCATGTATTTGTTTCTCTGGCACACTTCACCTTACCTCCATCTTCTCAATATCTTTATGCATCCCCTTCCAATAAAGCTCAGATGCT